CTGGGCCACGTTAATGGTGAGTGCTTCGGTGACTCTGGGCCACGTTAATGGTGAGTGCTTCGGTGACTCTGGGCCACATTATTATCCTTTTATGTATTTTTTAGCATTAAATGTCGCACTTTTCCTTTTCAGTATATACCACTGTGTAGCATTAAATGTCGCACTTTTCCTTTTCAGTATATACCACTGTGTAGCATTAAATGTTGCACTTATACCCTTGTTCTTGTTAAATCCTAGCTGTTAACCTATGCTGGCAATGGTGCTTTGCAAAGGGCGTAGATCTGGGTATGGACAGCAGGGATGTGTGCACAGCAAATGCTGGTGAAGCACTGTGTGTGCTTGGGGGCTGGTTTGGTCTCTGCCAGTGCTGAAGCCAAGCCTACACCCGCATGTATAACAATATTAATAAATACATTTCATTGATAAGAGAAGCTGCGATGGGTTGGCACTCCATCCTGGGTTGTTACCCTGTGCCCATAGGCTCCAGACCCCCCCGTGACCCTGAACAGGACAAGTGGTTTCAGAAAACAGATGGATGAATGGATGGATGGATGGATGGATGTTGTGAATATTGCAATGTACTGTGTGAGAACTGGTTTTCTTATAAACTAGCAAGCAAATGGTGGCACACCAAGATCCTGGAGATGTGATAGGGTTTGTAATAAAACCTCACGCCTAGCATAATGCCTGTTCATTAAACACAGATTTATTCTATATAATGAGAAAATACAAGGTAAATATTGATTAAGTGGGACAAAGGGTAAACAAGGGCTGAGTGTGAATTTGCCATCATAGGTCTATGTCCTTAGCTCTCTGCGGTCTGTCAACTTCAGTTCTTGAGCTTTCAGTGACACTTTTAATAACACACTTTAATTTAAAGTGAAAAGGCACAATTTCAAAAAGTATCCTTTTACCAATATTCGCGGAATCACCCTATAAGTGCTCATTGTCTTACGTATATCCATGTGCGAGTCAGACATCATGCATTACTGAGTTACATCCAAAGTTTATTCCCAGAACTCCACAATGCTGCTTTAGCTCTGCCCTTGGCGTGCAAAAATAGGATTTCTGTAAAGAGCTATCGGGTTCTTGGAAGGTCAAGTGGTGTGTTATATATTATATAGGTTTCGGGGGGGGAGGAGCCGTAATTGAATAGCGGAGGGGAAAGACTTCGTGCTGTGGCTCTAATTTGCGCGGAAAGAGGCAGCTTTAAGTAGAAACTTCAGAAGAGCTGCTCCGTATGTGTGACCATCCTAACCTATCTGATAGGCTCCCGTGTTTCCAGACTCCTGCAGAGTGACTTACCGCCACTAGGGGGAGCCCCACTGAAGCTTTCTCCGGTTAATGGGTATTCCATTAGCGGCTAAGCACAGTTCCATGAGTCAGCAGAATTTTAAGTTGGCGGTAAAAGCCTTTCATTAGGTGTGCCGTTTAATTTACAAAGTCTCTATATTAAGGAGAGCTTACTGACACATGCCTTAAGGTGCCAGCCCACTAACACTAGATGGCACCACGAAACCATAAAAATTAATGACGACGCATAGATTCCAAACCAAAAATAACACATTCTCTAAAATAACATCTTTAATAAAATAACAGGAACTCGATACACTTACAAGTGCGAAATGCTTAAAAAACAAGCCCATCTGGTCTTTCAACTATTTATAAAGTACATAGGATGGCCTATAGGCCCGGCAGCATTGACTGCAGTACAGTCTGGATGGGCTGCGAGTCTGTTTGGTCAGAAGATTACAGGAGTACCTTCCCACATTAAGAACAAAAAAGATCAATATAAAATATGGCGACAGCTTCTGTTCAAACTTTTTTACCTTTTAAATATGTTTCCGCTTATTTCGACACCCGGTTGATGTGAACTAGCCTAACAACATCAGAAATATCGCAGTAATAATAAATTTAATAAATAAGAGTGCTTAGGTGAGTACGCCCAGAAAGACCGACAGATATGAATTAAAACAGCTCATTGAAGAAACGTCGATCTTCGTCACTACCTGGGTAGCATTACTTAACGTATACTGTAAGATATTAGTGTTTGTAAGTGTCGTCACTAAATTGTCTATATTGTACGTTTGATTGTGTGCCCTGCGATGGACTGGCATCCCGACCAGGGTGTAGATCAGCCTCGTCTGCCCTGATGCCGGCGTAGTCTCCAGGACCGTGACCCTGACCGCGGTAAAGGATTGGAAAACGTTTGGGATAGAACATCAGCATTGTGCTGTAAACTGCTGCCTCCGTATAGCAGGCATCTCGATAATTTGCTCCAAGCAAAGAATTAAATAAATGCAGCAACCAGCCTTAAAAAAAAAACAAAATTTTATTGTAGTTTTAGGAATACAGTAGACTCCTGTGCACAGCACATACGTAGAAAAATAAAAGGAAACCCATTTTATATATATATTAGTATTCTTACTCTCGTTGTCATTTTTTTCAGAAATAAATGATTGGAGAAGTCTGTTGCTTCCTGCTAATTTACAATCGTAGTAACAAATCGGAACTAAGGCAGAAGGTGAGGTATATGTTAACAAAGAGAGGGGGGTCGGAGGAAGCACATTCCCCTCAGTGCAGGAATACGAAACTGATAGCGGACGCACAGAAACAGCACAGACCGACACTCCGCACCCCCGCCGGGAGCCTGGGGGGCAGACCCCCCACCCACACTGGCTGCCCTTTCGCCAGAACGTCCTTTCGTATATTTTCATTAGCATCTTAAGCTCATCCCCCCCCCCAGTTTGTCACGCTGACGGTGGTGCACAGTACCCCCCAGGGACTCCAAATCGAACGGCAGCACTTGCACACCAATGAACGCGACATCGTCAGGTTCATACAATGCTTCTGTTTGCCATGAGGAAAGTGTCCCGCTGTCCACAAGGACAGGCAAAAAAAAACACGATATGAATGTCTACATATGCTACAAATAAATTATAAATATATAAACAAACAAACACACTTTCGTCACTACCGCCCGGACACTCACGCTCCATAAGAATGATTTTTTTCGGTGTTCGGTTAGTTTAAAGCGGACGCTCCCATGCTGAGGCACAGGGGAGACCCAGCATCACACCTTGACGGGCTGTCGTCACTGACTTCTGGCCGTCAGGTTCCCTGCCCTAAACTGTAAACAGTCCGTACAAAAAGCTTCCTTAATTTTGGCGCAGCTCACTTTGAAAACCTCCTTGCAAAAATGAGGAAATAGGCCTTCCTTACCACGTCCCATCTGCCTTTTCATGAACAAAAATAGTCCCATTCCTGGACAAAGGACCATTGGCTCAGAAAGGGTTGAAGACCAGCCCTTGTATTCAAGTAGACGGCAGACATTTTGTGGAAAACAAACAAGCATGGCAGAGCCCTTGATGAACTGCACAGTGACACCTCGCCATTCCACACACTGTCACTCAAATTAACATCAGTTCACCTTCACACTCACCAACAAATACAGTAACTATTGCTCTTTTGGGATAATAAAATGCCCAACAGCATATTCCCAAATAAATTAATAAAATAAAATAAAAACTGAATAAAACACACAAGACCGATCTTCATGATCTACAAATTACCAGCCGTTGTTGATATTTTGCAACCAGAAATATGATTTGCTTCAGCAAGTCAAAGAAAAACATCAATCTTATGCTCTAGCTTTCATCATTCCAACATTTTTACAGTGTTTTTTTATTTGCTAAGCAGACACTTATCTCAAGCACCTTACGATGATTGCATCTATAGATTTTACATGTTTTGTAACCAATTTCATTCAGCATTTCCTGGAGTCAAGTAGTTACATATAACAGCGGTTCCCCAGGCCAAGAGCATCGATTGCAAGTCCTGTGTACAAGAGCCTAGTAACTCAATATCTTTTAGCAAAGTAACTGAAACGTACTTCGGCATTTGGGCTCCAATGTAATCTCGGAAAAGTTGTAAAAGCACATTTCTTTTCCCAACAAATGTTAGTTTTCTTTGGGATAACAAGCTACAAGCGACTTGCCAGACCCAACGTTAACAACTGGCTGAGTCTCCATTACTGAATGCATCTATTTACAGAGGTGGGGGGGGGACTCAAGTAATGATCCTCATTTCTATACTGAAAATTACCTAAAGCCTCGATCTCCATTCACATCTCAACCCCGTTCCTGATCACGGGTTCGCGCCTGTCACGGGCGCATAAAGGAGCCAAGGGAGAGGCTTAGGCAAAGCGAAGGCACCGGATCCTCACGCGGCAACGGGGCTGCGCTCCACACCTCTCGGTTACCAGCAGCGGAGGCGGCGGCAGAGCTCTTAAAGGGGCCGGACGGAATATAAACTTTTGTGAGCGTGATGTCATGCAACCTTTCAGGAGGTGGCCGGTTGAGGTAATAAAACGTATCGATTTCGCCTTTAAAAGCTAAGGAGATTAGCCATACCAATGACAGGATGAAGCTTCTACCATTTACGGCAAGCACCCATATAAAGGGGGGGGGCAGGTAAAGCCGGCCCCCCTTTATATAATAACAATAACAATAATAAAAATAATAAGCAGCAAAGTATGGCATATATATAGGTTCTAATACAAAGTTAACTACCCAAATATACATATATAAAGACAGAATAAATACCATTAGTTATAGTAGCATTTTGCAGTCAGTGTGTATTTGTATGAATGTGTGCATATATATGTACAGTACCAGTCAAAAGTCTGGACACACCTGCTTTTAATGCATTTGTCTCTGTTTTAGCTGTTATCCACCTTATAGTAAAAGGCCTTGAGGCGATGAAGTCATACATGTCAAAAGGATCCAGATGTAGCCACCTGGGATGCTTATCCAACAGCCCTGAAGGAGTGTCCATAAGTTCTGGGCACAGGTTGGCTCCCTTGCCCTTACTCTGTGACCCCACTGATCCCAAATCAGCCCAGTAGGGTTTAGGTGGGGGGAGTGTGGGGGCCTGGTCATCTGTCACAGCACTCCATCTCTTTGCTTATTCACAGGTTAATACAGTACTTATATAAGCTCAAGGTGTGCTGAGGGTTGTCATCTTGTTGAAAAACAAATGATTTTTGGTAGGTGTGTTCAGACTTTTGATTGGCACTGCATGTATACATATATATATATATATATGAACACAGGCTGGGAAAACATGCACGTGTGCAAATTAGTGAGCTTCTGTGAGCGTAGGTCATATCCGTGGGAGGAAGTGTGTGACCGTCATGGCCGGCGTGGCCCTGTTGCCCCTCTTGACGCGGCCGTGCTTGCTGAGCGCCATGTAGAAGCCCCGGTAGGCCGCAGACTCGTAGGCGTTGTAGTTGTTTGGCAGCAGAGTCTCCTTGAATTTGCACTCGTCACAAAAGGCTGCCTGATGGTTGAGGAGACACAGTCAGTGACGTGGTGAAGTACAGGCACACGCACACGCACACGCACACGCACGCAGCAGTCTGCGTATACATGACACCAGTTCATTCCCGTCACTAATGTTTCACAAGGCTATACTTATACCCAGCTGCGTAGCTAAAGATTTTGGGCGGCCTGACAAAACGTCACCGTGGGCTCCCTCCCCCGCACCCCCACTTACATTATAATTTTATCATTTTACATTTTCCAGGGCCCCTGAATCTGCTGGGTACCCATGCCCACCACTCTGGCCCTGCTCATGATTAACCTTTCATAAGCCAAAAAGTATCGCTCCTTCTCACATCTCCTTATGATCCACAGCCCCCCATTCAGCAGGTCTATCATGAATTATGCCCCCCAGTATTATAAGCAGTCCTGTGTCACCGTTTCACCTCCTGACCAAAGGGCCACTGATCTCGAGGTCAAAGCCATAACTGCAGCCGATTCCGCGGCCGCCCTTCTGGCTCAGGCTGGGCACTCCCCGGAACGCAGCCCCTCCCCCTTCAGACTGCGGAGGTTGTTAAATTCACCCACCGTATAATTCCACACCCATTAGAGCGATCAACTATCTAAAAATCTCATCAAATTATATATTTAATCGATGATTTAAGCATAAAAGAAGGTGGATGATTACAGAGCGATTCTTATTACCATTATATAACACTTTCAGTGCATCTTATTTTAATTGAAACATCTGCCCGGTTAAGCACCGGAAAGCTTTCAACACTGAAACGTCTGCGTCCACAAATACGCCTGACATAGATTAATTTTCCTTGATAATTTCGGCAGTGAGCAGAAAGGAGCCGCACCACCAAACGCACATCGCCTGCATGCGCTTCTTAATGACCCGGTTGTTTAATCCCGCATAAATCCAGCGTTATGTCGGTTTGACAGCTAGGTCCGTACTCGCACGCCCAAGATGCACTATTTCGGGGAGAAACGGCGAGATCCCGCAGCATCGCAGCCTTAAGGCGCGATGCACAAGCGGCCAAAAACCGCTGCCAGTAAAATCAGCTTAAAATACCTCTCTAATGCGAAAGGTCAGCGATGAAAACGAAAAACAGTGGAAATCCCCCGGGATCCAGGACTATTAATATTACAAGGGTTTCAATCGCCATTATGTCGCTCGCATTTTCCCTAATGCCTCCCAATATTACCTACAAAGAATTCAATGATTGCAAATGATGCCCGTTTTCAGTGAAACTGACCAGTACTAATATTTAATAGCGAAATCAGCACTTCCACCATGTTAACACAAAGAACAGGCTTAAAGTGAATGGGAATGCGTCTCTATACATACACACGGCCATTTGAATTAATTGCAATGGAACAAATTAAAGTCATGGGTATCTTGGAAGATGACAAAGGTCATTTCTAAAATAACGATCAGGTGCAATGAAACGGATTCGTTTCGTACAATAGAACACCGTCATACAGACACACATAGAGTTAAACGCATTATACACAGTATACAGAATCCCCGATTTTAGAATGAATTAATCTGGCTCTTAGACAGTCTCAGAAATAGCACAAAAGAGATTAAACTGTGCATACCTACCGTTCCGTACAACCTTCCTCTGCTGTTCATTGCGACAAATAGGCCACTGCTGACTCCGTGCAAGCTAACGACTCCCCGCTCTACTGTGGAGATTTCTATTAGGGCTGATCAAACAAAACATCATATGTTACACATCGCCAACGACACCAATCACACCGGCACTATTCAAGTATTACGAGGGAATTAAACGACGTGCACTGCGGAGCGGTGGCTGTAACCTTGCAGGATGCCCTTCTGCTGTCACCGTCTTTGTTTTTGCGCACATTTTCAGACTTTGCATCTATTTGTTTTATATTTAAGAATATCTCCCGCAAGTGCAGCTTCAGCCGCTCATAACTACCCCTTACTGGGCCGCAGAAGGAGCCGGTGTAAAAATAAGTTGGCATCTATATTCGTCCAAGCATTCATGTAATGTTTGAGGCTGGGAAGACATTTATCACTGATGGATACCTGGTTTTTAATAGATTTGTCTTTGCTTTAAGAGCCACGCAAATGCTGCCTACCCTGCCGATTGAATATCATGCAAAATAACACGGATACAGATGCCACTCAGGTACTAATTACTTGCGGGCACTTATGTGTAGTCTATTGCATTACATTTCTGGATGCAACTCACTGTACTGGTTCTCATTATGTACACCGTTTATCCTGCCGTCTGGAAGGATCTGAAGGTGAAACCCGATGCCCACATTGCAGTACAGCCTCCGCACTCTCTTGATGCCCAGCAAATAGTCACTCTCCCAGTTCAGGTCCGATTTCTCCCCCGAGATTCCCAGAATGGAGTGGGAGAACAGGGTCTCCCATCTTTCCTCCAATATACTTGCATTAGTCCTGCTTGGAATAGGATATGATGACACAACCCCCACTAGGAACCCTAGAACAATCGCAGTCAACGTCCAGTGCGTGCCGGCCTCGTAGGACATACTGATGAGGAGCCTTTGCGCAATGGCCATCCGGTTTACCTTCGGGACACGTGGTCAAAATTAATGGCCCTAAAAATACCACTCTTCTTGTTTTTCGTCCTTCGGCATGCTGGCAGAAGCTTATTTTTGGAAGGCAGATCAGGATTTCGGGCATGAAACGAAAGCCCGGGAGGAGATGAGAAGGAAGCGAGAGCGCGGCAGAGCTTGAGGTGGTGGCGGTGGTGGTAATGATGATCATGTTTTGCCGCTCGGCGCTTCTCTCGATGGGCAACGCTGGCCGTGGAGAATACCTCTCACCAAAAACCTATCTCACCTTGCCTGGCATCCGCATATCCGTGACATCACTCTGACTTCATCGTAGCTCCGTCAAAACTGAACAGGCGAAGGAAGGAAAGTTACAAGCCGGCAGAGCGGAGCCGAATCGCGGAACTGCAGCGTCAGCTCAGCTGGGAGCTGGGACTTCGGCTGAATGCTCTCCGTCCACATGCGAGAAGGGGAGAGATACGCCTCACTGGGTGCCTTTGAGCGATCCCAGAACGTGATGGGCACTTTGGCAGAGTCCAAATCGGGCCGGTGGTCATATGTCTGAGAGGAGGCTTCCTTATTTAGAATAACGGTTTAAAAACAGTGCAGCAGTCACAGCAGAGCAATGGCAATCTTGTGGGACACTTCAACTGCTGCCTTTTTGAGACGTTTATAAAACACAAATTATGGAAATTGCAATGTAATATAGCTTTTACTAAACTGGATGGATAATAAAAGCATGGCGCATAACCCGAGACGCTGCGTCCTTTGAGGCTGAATATTGCACCCGTACTATTCAAAAGACACACAGAGATATGGGGATTTTCCCCACCTACTATAGCACGGAATAAAACTGTCCGTGCTGTCCGTACTTCAGTATCGCGGCTCGGAACGTATTTTGCCGGTGAGCTGGAGACAAGGGCGTGTACCATAGCAACGCCGAAGGGTGGCGCTGTTTCATACGAAACGCTTATCGGGCGCAAAGAATGTTAACCTGCACGTTCCGTAGGTGTAGCGGCTCATAATCGTAGGATAGATCCCCGCCCCCCCAAAAAAAACAAGCGAACAAGTAGAATCGTTAAAATACAGCATTCCACATACACAGCGTTTTAATGAAACATCTAACATTCTCAGCTTAGGAATACCAGCATTATTAAATCGCACAGGCCTAAAACAACACTGATACTGATGAACAGTAAAGCATAGGAAAACAAATAATGGAATAAGGTTTTCAGGAAAAGGGGTATAGCTTAGGAAGTTTTGTGGTGAGGGAAAGCCGAATAAACACTTGGCCATTTTAAAATCATTCAGAATATTTATTTCAGTAAAAAAAGTCAGACTTCATAATCACTGATGTTTGATTCTTAGAAAATCAGCACCCGTACGGTAAAACAAATGCGACAAACTGGAAACTTTGATAAAACCGAGTGAGACGCACCACACAGCACATGCACTCATGGAATTGTTTATACATTATGCTTACATAAATATTCCCTGATTTGGCATTTTTAATGAAACACAAAGAAAAAAGGCAAATGTGAAATTATCCCCTACACACCTGAACTTGGTAGTACAGGACACCAATTATGGTAAATACAGAGATCACATATTAAATAACTTTAATAATATTTATAGTGAAACAAACGCCTAACAAAAGAATAACATAAGAAAATCACAAGAATAGTAGCCTAGAATGAAGTGCTTACAAAATGATTTCATGATCAGAAACCAAAAGGCATGATACCTCCAACCGGCATCAATACACGGGGATTCTATAGTAATGTGCAAAGTTACCGGAGATTTGGCTAAAACAACGTTCATTTGAGGTCTGCGGCAAATAACACCCCGGGTCGCATGTACCAGAACGCTGAAACGAATGTTAAAATTCAATAAAATGCAAAAAATGTATATATGTATATCAGTAAGTATGACGTAAAGCCGGCTGATTTCTCTTGAAGGAGCAGCTGCATGCAGGCTCTGGTGATGGAGGCAGGGATTCAGACCCTGTCCGCCCACACCATAACTTCCTGTATGGCCCCTCCCTCCCATGCAACATCCTCAAACACCCAGTTCCCAGGACTGCTGGACCATGGTGTCCCGTGACGGGACAGCTGTGACAGGTCTTTGGTATAACCTTATAATCATGTATATGAAAAGCAAAAATTAAAAAGCAGCCTTCTGTGGTATTCCAGGTAACATACTGCTGCGTTGTGCAAATACTACGACCTAAATACAGGAAGATGACAGTCTTAACAGCCAGTCATGTCAGATTTCCCGTTGCGGGTTAAATATACATTATTATTAACTGATGTGATTCAACAGCTTAAAATGGTACATAAAAATAAACTAAAGCATGTAATTATTTCTCGTAAAATTCATACTGGGAACACAAAAAACTGGCACCTTGGAGTCCGTGCTGTCACAGCTGTTAAATGAGGTCTAGCTGCTCTGACCTTCCGTAGAAAGCAGCCGGATATCAGAACATCAGTGGGAGGGAGGATCGTGCGCGCGAATCAAACAAAATGATCTTTTTCCTTTCACAAAAGCAGAAGGCAACACCCGTAGGGTCACGACACATCCAACAGAAACAAGCACGATTAGATTGTGTGCTTACGACTTTAGAAAAATAAATACATATCTAGCACTTACGATAAAAAATTCCAGGCACTTTTTGAAATAGATAATTAAGTTCTATTTTTTAATCAAGATAAATAATTTCTGAGACTTAAATATTCATTAAAGCTAAGAAATGCCCTAAAAATTGGCAGTACATTGCACGAAGGTAATATTTTAAAATAATTTGTGTCATAGTGACGTCGGCCACGTCGTGGTCTTTGGGAATCATACTCCGGCGGGATCCCGTTACGGCGGGAGATGGGGGGGGGGGCGCTTTTAATGCTCCACAGCCGTACGGCAAGAGACAGAAAAAACTACATTTTATCATAACCCAAAATGAATCGCCACACAGAAAACTCGAAGTTGGATTTAAATAAAAGAAACCAACACCATATAAATATCGAAAAAGTGCTTAAAATAAGCACAGGATTCTGGCTGTGTAGGTGCCGACCCGACCGCTTATGGTCATAAACACATTTGTAGCTGCATGTCTGTGCTGTTGGCTTCACAAATGGCTCCGGTCCCTGATCCAGCTCCACTCTCTGGCCTGTGCTTAATCAGAGCATCACCCTAAACCGCCACTAGCTCTCGAGTAATGTCCCACCGCAATACGCATATTGGCAGAAACTTGGGAATAACCTCTCTGCCGAGCGAATGGCAGTCACCCATTTTACAGCATATCAGAGATGCTGCTTGATGAACATCAAACCAGAAATCTGTCCCTCTGCTCAGTCAGAGATTTACTGTAACTGCATATGAGAATAATATGTTGACCTTATGCTGAGTAAACTGATTGGTTAAAATTCATAAGAACATCCCTATCTCATGAGAAACAACGAAATCTGGTCACAGGATTCTGTCATGCTAAACAATGTATGGTATTCTGCATGGAGGATCCCACGTTTGTCAAAATGGCATTTTGGCAACTTAGAAAGGCTTTTGTGGGCAAATCGCGCCCAATCTGTCTCATCATCTTTAAACTAGCGACACGACAGGAGCAAGCAGAACTGAACCTAAATCAGAATCAGAATCAAACGGGGGCGCCGCAGATATTCCTGTGGGGACAGAAGATGTACTTTTAACACAGAACAAAGAAAAACGTGGACATCATATACAGTTAAACATCAGCATGATGATGCAGGCCTGTAAACAATGACAGGATCCATTTGGTGCCTTTAATGGTTACCAGGGCAACGACACTCACAAGATGGACCAAGCCAACAAACATGTGAGGAAAGTGCAGCCGATGTAAGGAATGGAAAAGCTCCTCAGAGAACCAATGGGAGCGGAATGTTAATGGCCCAAATGGGTCAGTCCAGTTCAGCAGGCCGTGGGTCCACTGTGGGTCACTCACGGCAGTGACAGAACTGGGCTGAGAGCCCGAATGACATGTCAACGCTAGGTACACAGCCGTTAATGCATTTCTCATGTCTGTCTGGGAATACTCGAATGTCAGGGTGTGCCAGAGGCGGAGCCACAGGGGTGCTGGTCACAGATGAAAGCTGATTGGCCCCCAGAGTCCCCACTACCCTGTCACTCATTGATTCAAAACATATCATTGGCTAATGATAAGGTTGGTCCTTCTTGTGTCCTGCACCTCAAAAAAAATATCCTAGAATTACCACTGAGGTGTGCTACAGGTCTCCAGGTCGAGGGTGGAGCGGGGAGGGTGGGGGGAGTGGGGGGTCTGCCTAGCCTGAGATGAAAAGGTCAGAGATCTTTTAAGTAGAGGCATCAAGCACAGGCTGGCACTTAGCAAACTATTCATTCCACATGGACGATGGCCAGAAAGACCACGCTCTGTAAGGCCGCCTGCTTGCACACAGACGTAGCACAAAGCCAGCTTACACTATTGGGCCACTGGACTTCCACCAGCCAGACAGAGGTCATGGGAAGGGTGTTCCAGGCAGGGGAGGCCAAAATCAGGCCTGGTTCTGTCACGGTGGCCTGCCCCCCCCCCCCCCCCCACCGCTCAGGCCCTGAGGTCCCTCTGGTCAAAGACTATATGTTTCCCAAAGTAGATGGCCATGAAGCCAAACAGGGCGGAGGAGGCCATGTAGGTGGTGACCGATTTGGTCAGCTGGACAACGGTGCCCATGAAGAGCGTGGGGAAGACCTGAGACAAGAGGAAGGTGCTGTCCAGCACGGCAAAGTCCAGCCCCACGCCCCGTTTGCCCGGGATGGGGCTGAGCACCGGGCCGCAGGGCTGGGCGCACTCGTTGTCACCACCGAAATGCAAGTACCCGCTGACACTGTCGTGCTTGGGACTCTGGAAGCAGGCGGCCTCCTCGCCGCCGGCCTGCGTGGGCGCACTCCCGCAACGCGCGCTTCTGGCTCCTGGCATGAAAACCTGAAGAAGGGAGGCAGCGCCCAAAGGTGAGACATCGGCCCAGAAGATCCGGGACAAAAACTGCCCATTTACGACCAGGAGGGCAAAGAGCAGGAGTTAAATATTAACACTCAGAAGTTCTAGTGTATTTTTAGGGCGGACTAGTTATACCGGTCGGCTTTCTGCTGCCACGTTATTTTCGTGTTTACCTGATCTGCTGGGTCAACATCGCAAGAGCCTGGAATCAGAAAGTGGAGCGTGAGAGAGGACGTGCAGGTGGGTGTGGCCATGGAGCTGGGCTCACCTCTGCCTCCTTGTGGTAGTGGCAGGTGAGCGTGTAGGGCAGCGTCTGCAGCGTGGCGTAGGCGAAGCCGGTGAGCGCTGACATGGCGGTGACCAGCGCCACGCTCTTGGACAGGCAGATGACCAGCGCGGAGGCCGTGAAGCTGGCCAGGCTGCTCAGGTAGATGCGGCGGGAGCCGAAGCGGCACACCAGCCGGCTCATGGCCAGCGAGAAGATGGTGGAGGTGGCGCACTGCAGGAAGAGGCCCAGGCTGCCCATGCGGATCCCTGGGGGGGGGGGGGGGGAGCAGCCAGATCATGCGGCTTCTGCTGACTGACGTACGGTACAAGAGCAGAGGGGGACCGACCGTGAAGTCCACAAGATTCATAACCCTACAGCTTATTCCTGGAAGGATAGGACACAGTCCCAGGCTGGCGCCCCATAAGGGGGGGGGGAGTTAGGCTGATAGGATGATTCGAAGGACTCCAAATAATTTGGAACGTAATTGAATTGGTCTGTTTTGGAGGCCCCATATGATGTGTTGTCATGGGGCCCAAATTCTCTAGTGGTGACACCCAAGACAGGATGTTCAGATTATGACTGCACACATGCACACACACACACACACACACACACACACGCACACATGTCGGGTAAACATATCTTCATTGTCATTCATTTGAGAAATATGGGAAAAATGCTAACGCTAACTATGACAACCATAACCCCCACCCAGCCCTAACCATAACCATAACTATGACAACCATAACCCCCACCCAGCCCTAACCATAACCATAAGTAACTATGACAACCGTAACAACCACCCAGCCCTAACCATAACCATAAGTAACTATGACAACCGTAACAACCACCCAGCAACCGTAACCCCCACCCAGCCCTAACCATAATCATTAGTAACCAAGCAAAATACAAGAGTTTCTGCATTTTTAGTTTTTTCATTGCAGACACAGATTTTTATTAAAATGAGTTTTCCCTTATGGGGACCAGGAAACTCAGGAAACTCACGGATATTCATCACGTTGTGGGGACACTGTGTTCCAGTCTGTTACCTGCTGTCAAGCCCAATATTATATGATATGATGATGACACTTTAATCCCAGAGAAACCAGTCGGTACTAGTCGCGCATACCCGGGCATACCCGGACATACCCGGGCATCTCCACACACGTCAAAGCATAAATCAATATGTTACAAACACACTGGAATATCGCTTTACGAGCATCACATAAAACGCTATATTTGGGGAAATACTGCTGCCTTAAATAGTCAAAAGAGCCCCGGCAATAAAGCTGTAAAGTCAGTGGGTGGCCTGCTTTAGCCGCCGTCTAAGCGGAGGACCCACACAGCACATTTTGGGAAGGTGCTGGCAAACATGCTTCTGCCGCTCCGGGCTGGAAGGCCGACGGAATTTAGGCAGGAGACGGGAAGAAAGGGGGAAGCCTTTTTTCTTCCACTCCCAAAAACGGCAGTGTGAGGCTGGGATTAGTAGTTGGGTTAGGATTAGGCTCAAACTCAGAGCAGCAAGGTTTTTAAATGACCCTCTGTCTGTGGGGTCCCGTCTGGTGAAACACACAGCAGGATGTGGTTTTGGGGGAAGACAGAGGGGGGCGACACTGAGCGTAGAATGAGGAGGGTGGATAAAGCGGTATATTGGATCGGAGGGGCAGGGGAGGGAGAGAGCCAGTTTAAATTGAATATCCAAGCACTTAGGAGGGGAGGGAGAATAATCCATCTGAAGTCAGTCCAAAGTAAACAACTAAACAAACAGAATGACTAGTTAGAGTTAAATGCAGGCTGGGCTGAATGTCACAGAGGAGCAGTTCAGGAAATCCGGTGCTGAAAACGACTGTAGCAACTGGTAAACACAACCATTCTGGAATCTCTCTCTCTCTCACATACACACAGCAGTTTCTTTAGTGTCATTTTGTTCAGAGTGTGACGTTCTGCCCCATCTGACATGCATCTCTCAGTCAGGGCCAGAGAGCTGGAATCAGCATGGGGGCCAGAACACAAGAACACAGCCAGGAAAAGCCCCATAGGAGGGGAATGAAGGGTCATCCAGCAGCGGAAAACAGCCGGCCCCGCTGACCGGCCAGCAGCGGAGAGCAACCCCCGCCGGCCTGCGGGACACCCGGCCCCGCTGACCGGCCAGCAGCGGAGAGCGACGCCCGCCGGCCTGCGGGACACCCGGCCCCGCTGCCCGGCCAGCAGCGGAGAGCGACGCCCGCCGGCCTCCGCTGCTGGACTGGCCTGCTGGACTGGCCTGCTGGGGCTTCCCCAGATGTCTGCAGCAGGCACTGGCCCTATGCGATCGCACACAGGACATTTCTTTACACCCCAGGCTCAAACAGCGACACTCTGCACACTCTTTCTTACTGAGCCACAGGGCTGCACTTACATTTATCTATTCAGCAGATGCTTTTACTGGAAGGGAATTCCTGGGAGTTAAGGGCCTCGCTCAAGGGCTCAACGGTGACATCACTCTGCTGACCCTGGGACTCAAACCAGCAACCTTCTGATCATAGGCATGCCATCCTAACCCGCGGAGCCACACACCGCACCTAGTAGAGCACCAAAGGAGCCAGTAAGTCCCAAACTGTCTAGGATTGTTCATATCCCCCCAAAATAGCATCACTACTTAGGGACAAGCCCTCATACCCTCCCTGCACAGCTGGGACATAAATATCTACCTTATTTATTTAACAATCTGCATCACTTTGGCCTCTTTACTGCGTAATGTACATATGCTAATGTTTCCCTGTAGTTATCTATAATCTGCCTTATGTCTATGTTTGTTGTGCCTTTATGTCCCTTATGCTGCATCAGTCCTGGATTAAGGCAGACCAGCACTGTACATACTGCACATACTATATGATTGTCTATGTGACAAAACTGATTTGATCTGAACTGGTTTTGTAGGTTGGTGCTGCAAGTTGGGGGGGGGGGGTGGCAGGCTGGCAAAAGAGCTGAATGAGATAGAGTGGGGGTCACTCTCACCTTCTTCGTACCGCTGCCTGGACGGCGTGCCTGGGGCGGCGCTGGGCACACCCTCGTAGAGCCCCTCCCCCACAAAGTCCGTGTAGAAGAGCACGAAGGACATGACGGCCATCCATCCACAAAGCTGCGCCGCGCACAGCCGGCGCATGACCTGCGGCACGTCGCAGTACCCGCGGTAGACGGCGGGGGTGACGGACCTGCACGCGCGCAGCAGACAGAGCAGCGGGCTGACCCTGGGAGCCCGGGACCAGCAGTGACCCGGCGGCCAGCAGGAGAGCGGGAGCGCAGTGCAGTGGACAGCCTCCGGGGGCCCGGGCTCCACAGCGGCGTGCCGTGTGGGCGGCTCCTCCACGGACACTTTCATGGTGACCAGGACACTTAGGATGAAGATGAGGATGAGCACGGCGAAGAGGCTCTCCTCCTGGCCCCCCAGGTAGGTGGACAGCACCCCCCCGCTCCAGTCCAGAGCCGGCAGCAGG